GGAATGACTGAAGAATTTATGACATCAACCAATCCAACTGTTCGACAGGTAATCCAATTGAATTTGCTTATTGGCATGTGTTACATATACATAGAATGACTAAAACATAATCTTCCTATGCATTCTATTCTCAGTTTGCATCTGGGAGCCTGGATGGGCCAATCAGATATTAGTTCAAGTGCCTAAGGTTACTGCTATTGATTCATGGCCATAGATTTCAGCATCTACTGGGGTTGCTGTAATAGCATTTTTGGCTTCACCAAGTAAAATCTGGAGCTGATCTATGAACCTCAAGAAGGGTTTTTTGACCATTGTCTCCTGCTGGTCAATTCATTGAAGTAGCAGAAGAGATAAAAGCAAAACAACCAAGGACTCATTCAAAACAATTAGCTTCAAAATCGGGATTAACTCCAACATTCATAGTGTATAACAGAGTCTTTTTTGGTTTTCCATTTGCTTTTCTTGTCCCTTCATTGAAGTATTTGGGGGCTCCCTAACATGCCTTTGAACTTGCTAAATTTTTTTTTTCATTTTTTTGTTTGGCCATCCGAGAATGGGAGTTTAAATTGATGAAATTGGGAGTTTTATTGGTTCTTTTTTTCTGTCCTATCAAAAAGGAAGAGCTGTGTTTTCACGATATCCCATGAAAATGTAAGTACCATGTCATTAGAGAACACCTGAGGACCGAGGAAGTAAAGCTGCAGCATTGCAGTTTTGAAATGCAAATTGCTGATATTTTAACCAAGACTCCCTAGATCAAGGTTTGAGGTGTTAAGGGAAATGTTTATTTAATTTGCACTATTTTTTGGGTTTTTTTTTTCTCCTAGATTTAGTAAAATAAGAACAATTGAGTTTTTTTGTGCTTTTTTTTTTTTTTTTTATAATTATTTCAAGATCGTAATGTAGAAAAGTATAATGCGTTGATGACACATCCTTTGTGACGAAATTGACAAGCCCAACCCTTCACATCCTGGGTGATAAACTCATACAATAGAGGAAGGAAGCCCGAATCCTAACTACAGTGGCATTCTAATTTTTGTTAGTGAAGAACTTGATTCAGTTGCATCTATAATCTATTGTTACTATCATTTGAAAACTCAAAATAATAATAATAATAATAATAATAATAATAATAAAATTGTCATCTTTACCGCTCCTGCCTCAAGAAATTGCATTGTTATTATCATTATTACAACGGTATTGTTATAAAATCATGACTTATGCAATAAAACATAACTCTCCCATAAATTTTTATTTTAACTAAAAATAGGTTATTACTAAATAGATTAAGTCTCTGATGACATTGCATTTTAATTTACTATTTTAATGTTTTGTAATTTAAATTATATTAAATTATAAAACATTAATTATTAAATTGAGGAGTTTGCCTCACGATCAAAAACTTTGAAACATCTAATTATTAGTGTTGCAGTTAAATGTAATATAATTTGAATTACATAATATATTTTAATAATAAAAATAAGAATTTAGTGCTTTGCAGTTTACTAAATGATATAAACAAACTATAAACACCTCAACTTCATAATTAGTGGGTTTGACATTCACCCTACAAAGACTTTATTGATTATGGAATAAATGTTTTGAAATTTACCTAGGAGCAACAGCCAAAAAAAAATAAAAAAACACATAATAATATTACCAAAGTATGTTTGGTTTAAGAGAAATGAAAATGAAAGAAGAAGAAAACTTTTTGATAAATTATATTATAATATTAAAAATATCATAATTTTAATTAATTAAAATACTTATTCTTACCCTTTCTACCCCTTCCCTCAAATCAAATATTTTATAAAAATATGTTGTTTT